GTTCAGCCTCCTGAGGGCAAACCAGGGTTAAAGCTGCATTAAACCTTGCCTGTGTTCATCCCTGTCTCCCTCTACAGAACTCCATGGGCTGACTGGGAAGGGGTTGCACTGCTTGCAGGAGGGAATCCCTCCTGGCAGGGCTTGGGCAGCAGTGCCTTGGGTGTGCCAGGACACCTGTACCTCCCAAAAAGTCATGGGTTGAGCCATGTGTTTCCTAAAACAAGGGTCAGCCTTGCAGCCAAGGGCTGCTGGAGGCTGGGGGTGTGCTGGTCCTCGAGCCACCCCTGCAGCTCCTGCAGCCAGCCCACCTTGCTAGATGCTTCCTGTGCAGTGAGACCCTTCCCAGTGCCCTTGTTTCAGGAAAGGAACCTCTTCCTTGTGCTTCTCTCAGTCCTTGGGACGTTTTTGTTATGTTTAAAGCTCTAGCATGGGTTGGTTTGGTGTTAAGAGCCAGCAAAGAGCACTCCAAACCATGACTTTTGGGGCATTTCTTCTGCCCTTGGCAAGTGCTGGGCTGGAGGAGGTGGAGGTTGGTCAGCTGCAGGGGCTCAGCTGTGGGTGACCCACCAGAAGGTTTGAAGAGGAGCAAAACCCTTTTCTTGGGTGGCTTCTAAACTCCAAATAGAAGGCTTTTAAAGAGCTCAATCAGTAGAGAAGCAGATGGGCACCAACCACATGCCAAAGCTTACACAAACTGCCTTTATTTTGCAGCTCTGTAGAGTTTTGCTGTGCTGGTGCCTTGAGTCCTGCTTGCAGCTCGGGACTTCGTGTCTCCAGAAGGACATAGTGGAGTTAGAGAAGGGTAAAGGGATGGAGCAGCAGCCTGCCAGGTGAGGCCACAGGGGCTTGGAGGGCTGTTTGGAGAGGCAGAGGTGAGGGAGGATCAGCCCCGCTGTGAGCAGGAGGTGGCAGCATGTGTCCTCTAAAGGTCCCTTGTAGCTGAGTGGATTTGAGACTGACAAAACCTGCTGAGTTTTGATGACCTGCCAGTCACCACATCTTCACAGCTCCACCACAGGGGCACTCAGCTCCAACCAAGGAAATCAGCTCAGAACGTGGAGTCACTTTCTTACAGAGCAGGTAGCCAACTCCTGGAGTTTGCTGCCACAAGCCGTCGAGGCAGATGTTGTCAGCAGAAGGTTTTGGGGTTGGTAAAGTGGGTTAGGGTTTTTTATTAGTGGTAGATAGAGGGAGAACAGATCCATAAGGAAAAGAAGCTGAAACATCTGACAGCTGGGGTGGAGGTGGATGCTGGGGCAGAGAGCAGGAGGTGCACACACTGCTGTGTTGTCTGCAGTGAGATGCACACGAGGGGCTGAGCTGTGGGAGGGTGTTGAAGGTTTTCCCACAGCCCAGGGCTGGGGGAAGGAATGGTGACTGCCCTTTGGCTGCTTCCTCCGTGGCTGCAGCTGCTGGGGAAGAGGTGTCAGCATGGGAAGGGAACAGCACTGTGAAACCTTGTGGACAGCTCAGGCTGTTTGTCCCTCAGTGTCACTCACGGAGTGACCCCAGCAGGGCTGGGAATGCTGCTCCATCCACCAGAGTGGGGGCTGCTGGAGAGATCTACGCTCTGGTGTCCTCAGAGCAAACCCTTTGGGGGCTGAAGGGGAGCAGCAGAGAGCAGTGCAGCATGAGAGGGTGAGCAGGGATTCTGGCCAAAGGCAGTGGGAACAGCAGTGCTGTGCAGGGCTGTGATTGCCATGCCCCAGGGAGCTCCCCATGCTGAGCAATAAAATCCTCGGGTTTGTGGGTGCAGCAGTTTTATCCCAGTGCTCATGAGGGAGAGGAGGCAGCAGGGGACTGAGCCTGCAATTGGAACTGGTTTTCTCTCCAGCCAACCCTGTGTGCTGGGCTGGACTCTTGCCTTCCTGCTCTGGGCTCTGCTGGAGCCACCAGACCCTGTGCAGGTCCCTGTGGGGTGAAGCCTTGGGCTGCTGTGATGCTTGTGGGAAGGTCACATGAATATAAGGAGTGAAGGGCACCAGGGAATATTTTCCTGTGGGAACAGGGAGCCCTGGCAGTGCTCCAGGACAGCCCTGTGTTCTGACAGCAGGAGCAGCACACCAGTCAGCCTGCTGCTGTAGGTGATGGGTGAGGGCCATGCTTGGAGGACATCTCTGCCTGCGTTTTGGGGAGGAAATGTAGGAAATGGCTTTTCTCTGTGGCAGTGTGGGTTATTTCCAAGTCAGCTGAACCCTGTGCCCAGGTGAGCTGATCTTGCTGAGATGTGCCTCATTGCCCAAGGCAAACCTGTGTCTGAGCAGCACCTTTTCAGCCACAAAGCACTGTAGATGTGCACAGCAGTGCAGGCAGCACTGCAGGCCTGGGCTCCTCGCTGGGCACAGCAGCAGGAGAGCTGCAGAGCTGCAGACCCATGTGCCTCTCCCAGGGTGGCCAGTCCCCAAGTCACAGCTGCCTCATGGGCACCAGGGCAGGAGGAATGTACTGGTGCACTCAGTCTGGGTGTGCTTTGCCCAGGGAAGAGCACAGAGCAGCAGGATGCTGCCAGAGAGGTGCCCACAGGTGTCCAGGACCCACTCCAGGACAGCTGGGCAGCAGGACACTGCAGAGGTGTCACCTGGACTGGGAACAGGTGTTGTGTCTGAGCCTGGCACCAGGTAACTGGTGTGGGTTTGTGCACAGCACCAAGGAAACGAGGAGGTGTCTGTCTCTGCAGCCTGCCAGGGCTGGGGGTGTCTGTGTTTGGGACTGGGGGCAGGAAAGCTGCTTTGGGGTCCTGCCCCCTCAGGTGTTTGTCTCCCTGGAGCTTGCACTGTGGCTTGGCCAGCTCTGGGCAGCACAGGGAGGCTGGGAAGGGTCACTGCCCCTGCCCAGCATTGCAGCCCACACTGGGAGAGCCACAGTAATGCTGCCAGGGCTGCAGTAAGCTGGGGCTGTGTCTGCTGTGGGGCAGTGCAGGACCTGCTCCTGCCCTGTCGCTTTGGGGAGCAGGAAACAGCGACAAGGACACACTTATCTTCTCACATGGATGTGCAGCACAGCTGGGAGGGCAGAACTGCTCCAGCAGCACCTAAATCTCTCCTCACACCCAGCTCCCCTCCCTGCTGCTCCAGCCAGGCCCCTGCCAGCTGGCACAGGCTGCCTCTT